AATATTTGAGTGTAGATAAAGTGGAAACCGACCACACTCACCATATACCATCAGGCTAGATGTACACATTTTCACACCTTAGAATGTTTTACAGGCATATAAATGATTTTTTTCTTTCACATCAAACTTTTCTAAACCCCACACTTCTGAACCATATAATAAAATTGGGAGTATTTTAACATCAAATATTTTGAAAAATGATTGGTATGAAACAGTGACTTACTTGTCTTAGTATTGTCTTTAGGATACTCCACCGTAAGTGGGTAGGTCAGATAATGAGACTTATACACAAAGTGATATTGTTTGTGTTTGTGTTTGTGTTGTCCGCGTGTTTCTTTTGCCCCTCATATTAAAAAAGCAATATTAAAAAGTGCACCAATACGCAGGAACAACCCGTCTTTCTTTGAAGACGAAATATTATTCACCCGGACATTAGGTTTACACAAGTGAAATAAAAAATGTCTTAAGCTTAGAACTTAAAGAAACCCTTGCTTCCACCACCAGAATACCGTATAAAACAATCACCAGCGTAACCAAATCATCTGCAATCTTTCAAAGATTCTTTTGATATGGGTTAAAACCGATTCTTCTCAGATTCTGTTACAGATTAAGAATTGCAGAGGGTTAGGTGGAAGGGAAAATAATGCGGTTCACTACAGACATATGGGTTAAACCCCTTTCTGGTGTCCCCGGCAGTGATGTCAGTAGAAGCACTCACATAGGGATGTGTGGTTAAAAACACTGATGAAACCTAATTATAAATTTCGGTTATTTGAAGCGTATGCTCTTACGATGTATAACAATACATTTACACATCCCTTGGAACAATATCTACAATGATGTTGAGAGTGAATGAATCATAGCTGTAATAATCTGATGACATCACTTCAGTTTCATTTGTTACTTGCCTTATATTTAACTTATTTCAGAAATAAATGTAATGAATATGTATGTCGGCTGATAGGAAACAGGAACCATCAAATTGATGCGGGTGGGTGGGTGAGTGAGTGAGTGAGTGAGTCAGTGAGTGAGTGAGTGAGTGAGTGATCTTCACTGCATTGGTTACCTCATTGTTACTGGACTGACAACTGTTTATAGGAGTGTATGAAGGACCGTCCATTGGAAGACATTCCGGTTATGGGCTCTATTCACCATTCAGATATTCCCCATTGTGTCATCTTCATAGGGAATCAACAAACACTGCAAGAGGATATATAAACCCACTTTTTCACATTTTAAGGATGATCGAGTCCTTACGATGGAATTCCATTATTAATAATAATCATAACCTTTGCAGTAAATTCCTTTGAGAATAGAGAGAGGCATGCTGTAAATAATTATCTCAAGGGGTGCATAACTCATGTGCATGCATAGATTAGTCATAGTCGAATTTCTGATTTCAGTGTAGTGAAATGCATTCGACGGATGAGCACTGTGATCTTAGCTATTAATTATTGATCAAAACATTGGACCATACCCCCCAAAAAAGACCTAAGGGAAAGAAAGACAGACAGACAGACAGATAATATATTTGAGTCTCACCTCAACATCATACATATGTACATAGAAGGGAATAATAAAACGTTGAGCCAATCTATACAGACTTATGAGAGACTATATAACATATAAAATACAAAACTAAAAGAATATAGGACATATGTATATAATACATATTTACAGTACCAAGTTAAGAGTATAAAAGGGCATGTCGTCGCCGTAAGATAAGATAGCAGGTGTTGGCTGTATTAAAAGACACTTGTGGATTGGACAGTAAAAATCTTATCTTATCAGAGTCACTAAAAGACATAAAACTAACAATAAGCTGCTCACATTTACTAAAATGGACACCTCTTTCAAAAGAATACAGTAGACAATGCAGTAAAACATGACACTCGTCTTCAATAAAATCTTTACAGTAAAAACACGTTCTTTCCTTTAGAGGAGTATAATTATAACGTCCAGTTTCAACTCTGAGAGGAGCAACACCACATCTAAAAAGTGCTAAAGCACGTCTATTAGAGCGAGGCATGTGGCTAAATAAATAAAATTCAGGATTATATTCATCTTTAAAGGTAGCATAAGTTCTTAACTTATTACCTCCATTGCTCGTTGTACTATTTACATTTGAAATAGAATTAACATGTATGTTATTCAAATGTTGGAGACCAAGATCAGAAAATGTAACGTGCACTCTAAAATTCCAATTCTGTTTACTTAAAACAGCAGAAACATTACTCCAAACAAAAACTTTACTTGTTATACGGAATGGATCTAAATTACATAATCGTCTAAATATTCTAGACAAACCTCGCCACTGATCAACAAATGGTGGGCACCAACCCATGTCACCACTAACAGCATTGATTGGGGCATATTACGTAAACTCAAAAAAAACTCATTGCACGGTTTTGTACAGCATCTATACATGAAAATTTATAAGTGCCCCACATTGATACACCGTAATTAATGGTGGACCAAACCATAGAATAAAACAACGTGGAATATGTTTGATAAATGGCGTACCGCTTAACATTTTATACTTAGTAATTAACAAGCCAAGTGCCCGACTAGCGGAATTAGCTACAGAGTTTGCCATACGTAAATAATCTAAATGCTCTGTTAAAAGTAAACCTAAATAATTATAACAATATGTTGTCTCCAATTCCGTATCACCGCATACAAATAAACCATTACTTCTTGAAACTGACGGGCGTCTAAAATGAACATCTTTGGATTTAACATCATTGCCAGTCATCTTATTGGATATACACCAATTATGTAAACAGTCCAACATAACATTTAAATCACTCTCATTTTCAACAATTAAAACAATATCATCTGCATAAGCCAAAACTGGTACCGTAAACTTTAACACCCAGAGATAGATTCTCAATTGAAACAATAAGATCTTTAACATACATCTTTAACATAAACATAAGTGGTGACAGTAAACAACCTTGCTTTAAACCACACTGAACATGGAACCAGGATGTATATTGCCCATTAATACGCACAGCGCATTTAACATTTTGTGATAAAATAGGTTTATACATGTTACCATTCACACCAAGAGAACTTAGTTTCTCCCAAAGTAAAGACCTATGAATACAATCATAGGCTTTTTTAAAGTCAATAAAAGCTGTAAAAGTAGACTCTTTGTGATTTTCATGTTTCTATTATAGACGTTAGACTTGAGATGTGTTCCACGGTTGACCGACTCTTTCTAAAACCATTTTGATAATCATGTATAAGTTCGTTTTCTTCAGCATATTCACTGAGTCTGTTGTTTAGAACACCACAATAATGTTTATACGAGGCACTATAGTCCGATTGTCTCAAAATTGGACCGATGAATTGCAATCTAGCTCGAAAACTAATAAACATGAAATACTCAATGAAACACTGATCATAATTAAAACGTCAGACAAACTCTGTGAGGTTTTCACAGAATTTATGTCCTAAATTAAAAATGTTCTTTAACAAACTATCATTAAAATATTGACACAGTTCACTATTTGTTACGAGGGAGGAGTGCAGAGAAAGGGACAGCCAGGTGTGCGAGAAAGGATGGAGACGGCACAGCACAGGTTAATGAATCAATAACTTTGTGGGCACTTGTGCACGTGCTTCTCTAACACCTGGCTGTTCATATCCAAAAGTAACCGCTGCCAGTGATTATCACCTCTACATGTATATTCAATGTAAGACAAGTTTTATATAACTTGATTATCTACGGTTTCTGCTTTGACGAAATATAAATATGTTTAAACCAGATGTGGGGCTAAACATCCGCTTCCTCATCTGAGAGCCCTTTAACTTCTTTGATAGACATTTTAGAAGTTGAGTTGATGAAGAATGATGACAATTTTTATCGATGTACAATAAAAGAGAATAAAAGAAGTTGTATATCCATAAAAATTGTCATAATTCTTAACCCTTTAGCTGTTTAAGAAAACATGTAGTCTAATCCAATACAAGCCGACCCCCTAATTAATGAACTTAGACTCTCCCTGAAATTCGACCGATTAGCACAGAACCACTCAAGCATGATTCGACGGATCGGCACTGCGGATTAGGCCGTAATCATATGAAAAATGGACTACATCTTTCATGTATGTTTAATATACCAAATCAATTCATTACAAAACTATTGTTAATTATTTACAGTAGTTACTATGATCAAAGTAAGATGCGCCTGACGGGGTATTATTAGTTTCATTCAAAATACAATATTACTTCAGCGAATAAATCAATATACATATTGCTGTATTACGGACATTGACTGTAACATATGTCATAAAAATGTGTTTATGAATGTAATTGTGTGAAATAAATTTGATATTTGAGGTGGTCACGATAAAGTGCGCGTATCCTGCACCGCCGGTGTTTGTTACCAAACACATGCAAAGGCAAGTCAATTGTTCACCAGAAATATATATTCAGAAACGATCTGTATTATTAAATTATGAATCATAAACACATGTTGACAGTGTTGGTACAATAAAGATTTCTTATGATTATGCACATGATTCTTTTGATATTAGCATTACTGTCGATGCTACAGGACTTGTCAACGCTCAACATCAGCGATCTTCTAAACCAAACGCCTCGATGTTTAGCACTGGTACTTTCCCGATAAGGTGTAAGTCTAAACATTAAAATGGATCACCGAGGATTAAACATTTAAACATTCAGACACCATTGCCGGTTAACCTACTTAAAGCATGACCAAGATTCAAAGATCTTTAACACCTAAGATTGCTCCCTTTGCCTTTTCGGACTCGTAAAGATCTGGGTTAGAGTTGGTCTTCAGTAACCCATGCTTGTCGTAAAAAGCGACTAACGGGATCGGGTGGTCAGGATCGCCGACTTGGTTGACACATGACATCGTATCCCAATTGTGTAGATCGATGTTCATGTCTGGTCCAGACTCGATTATTTACAGGCCACCGCCATATAGCCGGAATATTGCTGAGTGCAGCGTAAAACTAAACTCACTCATTTACTCACTCACCCAATCCCACTAACTCACTCTTTGCTTTTTAAACGTTCTTGTGTACCCCGTCAACGCGGGTTATAACATGCACGTCTCGGGGAAAACAAACATTCCATACTGGTCGACAGGAGCACATTTATCAATCATATAAGTTCTTGTGATGCGTCTAATCAACTTGCAGAGATCTAACAGCGGTTAGGGAGAAAGGCCGTAGAGGGCGTCTCAGATTTGATTAACTAATCTTCAAAGATGGTGAGGTTATAACTTGGAAAATGAAAGATGATAAGGCTGATCTCAACGACTTAAGGACTAGCTGAGGAAGTGGCCGGCTCAGAATGATAGAGTTACCTCCCTTCTATCATGGAATGTACTTGGTCTCCAATCTAAGCTGAATATAAGTGAATTCACTGTATTTTGTTCAAAGTGTACGTCATAGGACTCTTGGAGGTGTGAAGTAACGTCAATGAAGACTTATTAGCCAACATGTTCGACAGATATACCTTTTATTTGAACTTCAGGGATTACAAGAGGTGATGTCATAGCTTAATACAAAACTCAATCAAAGAAATGTAAAGGTCACTAGTTAAAGTGACTGTATTTTTCTTACATTGAATTCAACATCTTTTGCCTGAAAAGAGATGTTATACTCGGTTTTGTATACACACATCACATATCCTTCAGTTGTGGAAGATCAAGACTTAACAACCAGCCAACCTATTATAAGCATGTCTGTGTTTGTCTCACCCTACAGAAAATCTCCACCCCAACATAAATACAGTATGCACTCCAGAAGAGAAACATCCTCGTCGCTGGGTAATAGGTCCATGAAGTCTCAAATGCGCCGGCCCAAAGAAAGAGACACTTATCCATAAAACATTTTCCTGACAGAAGTCACATTTTCATTTTTATACAGGCAAATGATTGATTACAGCTAAGGTAAAAGTTGAGTGATTCCGCCTCAGTTGGAATGTATGACCAATTCAGCCTAATTGCTTTCAGAAACACTAAAAGTACTGTTCTAATGAGTTCAGAAGTACATGGAAATATTATCTCTGAAAATGTTCATGCACATGCAGATTATGTGACATGGTAATATCGCCCCTTGGTTATTATTTCTTTTTAGACAGTGTACATGAATTGTCATTTGTGAAGTGTTAAGGCACAACTACATGGAAGCTTTGCTCGCCATGGCATCCTTCGGCGTCTGAAGCAGCTCCAGTGCATGTGCTTGAGAAAAAAGCAATGAGCTTTATTGAGTGTCCACGAATTTAAGGATAATTCTAAACCAATTGGAAAACAATCAAACTGTCCACAGTCAGTAATACAACAGGATTGCCTCTGAAGATTTCTCTGGTCTCTGATAACAGTTTATGCTCTGCTAATGGTTTCACAACTGCTATTCGGACGTTTCCGCGCTTCTGTTCGGCGCTCGGGAATTTGGTATTAGAGGTACCTTCTGTCTTTCTTGACCTTGCACACTATGACAGAAGTGATTTTCTGAAAGGATAAACAGATGCAGTCACAGTTTATGGCTATCTACTTGTAAGGGGCACGGGAGGTCTAGTCGTGTTAGGTACCGCAGTTCGATGTGCACAGCTGCATGCCTTTGGCATCCCAGAAATATAAGAATCTGGGTTCGAATCCTGGTTTGCCGTGATTATATTCCATGATCGTAGTTTTGTGGGTTTTGCTAAAGTGGTAAACGTTTCAGACCACTGTTGGTTGGACTCTAGTGGTAAACGTCTCCTTTCCTACCGCTTGATGCTGACACTTTGGGGTGTCTAAGATAACTCACTCACACACGTGTTCAAGTACCTGGAGAATTCGGAGTGGTTCTGAAGCGCAGGTATCATTAGATATTAATAATCCCCAACCACCTCGGTTAGATAAACGTCAATTGAAGGAAAGTGACTGAATCAATTACTGGTGTTCTGGGTTGTGCATACATCTATATGCAGTATCTGTACATACTGGCAGTATATATCTTCTACTCTACATAATGAATATCGTTTTTCATTCCGTAATCTCACCTGTTCAGGCAAGCCAGAAAACCGAAAGTCAGAACCACGATTATTGTGATCCAGACCCAGAAGAATAGTTTTGAAGAGGATATATCTTGCTCTTCATGTTCCACGAACTTGGTGTCTGAAAAAGGCGTTAACTGTAGTTATTCCACACATTTGCAGTGATGCCAATTGCACATATGCATATTATCAACAACAATGATTGGATAAATTCCCAACAATCAAAGTATATCTAATCTTAAACATAATCTAAAAAATTTAATAGTAAAATACGTGTCCTGTTAAATTATGGCTAGAAATGGTCTAAATTGCTAACAGCTAAAAGGATGGTATAAATCAAGCTAGGACCCATGGTCCTTATGATCCTTATTATGGCGATACACCTTCAGATTTGGGTAATGTATAGCCTGTTTTTATGTTGTATTATCTGCTATACTTCATTTTGTTTAAGATTTTGTATATCTATATCTGTGACATTCCAATTTTAACTTTGATCTTCTTCAGCATTGCAACTTGAATGAAAAGAGCTTTGTCTACAACAAACAATTTCAAAGTAAAGAGCTGGGATTATTAGATGTATGGACGAATGGTTGGCTAGATATACTGGATATACTGATTGTGTTTGTACCCGTGAAGGTACGGGTTGGAATTGATCTTCAGCAACCCATGCTTGTCGTAAGACGTGACTAACGGGATCGGGTGGTCACTGACTTGGTTGACACATGTCATCGCATCCCAGTTGCGTAGATGGATGTTCATGATGTTGATCACTGAATTGTCTGGTCCATATGATGATAATGTACATTTTTGCCATGTAAATGTGACTAAACGGCAAAAGGGCAAAATACGCTGCGGACAACACTCTAGATAAACGAAAATAAGATAGACACACACAAACACACACACTCCCCCCCTCATACATACACTCATACAGACATACATACACTCATGCAGACACACACACACACTCTCTCTCTCTTTCTCTCTCTCGCTCTCTCTCACACACACAACACTTCTACAACATATAATTCCGATGACACTTAAACACTTAGAGTTCCCACCTGGGGTAAACAAATGTCCCTTACCGACCGATATTCCGTAGTTTTTTTCTAAAGACAAACAGAGAGTTGAGTGTCATCCTTTCTGCAATGATATATTTATCTGTCTGTCTGTGTATCCCAGTAAAGAACGAAGCACACCTTATCATAACTACGGTTTGTTTTATTTTTTAGGAATGTTACAAAATATTGACGAGATCCATCTGAAAATATTAAGCATGTGAATTTCATTTTTATTGCTACTGACATTGCATTTATAGTCGTTTATGTGAACAATGGTACATAGTGGAAAAAAAGAAAACTACAAAAGAAAATCTGGCGAACTAACCGAATGAAACATTCATCTCAAGCAAAGTTTGAGTATTGCTGGAAACTGCCCATGTAGGACCTTCCAGACTCGTAGCAGAATTCAAATTGTTCCTGAAATTATAATAAAATATATAATCAAAACTTCGTAACCAAGTCTCTGTAAATGATTCTATAATGATTACAGTCATGCAAATTCCAGTAAACCTGGTACTTTCAACCAAATTGTTGAGTTGTCAGACGTGATTGTTTAACGCACTGTCGCCATTGTAAACGATATGCCCGTAACACATTCTTCTCCTGCTGCCGAGTATGCTCTAAATTCATTAATTCACCGATGCAGCTGTAAGTGTTCCCACAGCTGTTGTCATGGGAACTAACATCTCATGAAAATATACGCGAATCTATGGTCACGGCGATGGATACTTCTTCATATAATGAACTCTACCTATGAACTGTTTTTTGGGTAGCCGAAAATGACTCACCACATCGGAGATAAGAAACAAAACAAAAAACAAACCAATAACAACCAATAAGCACCAATACGGCGTAGGCAGTCCAAGATTCGGCAAGATTTGGAAACGGGAATCAACGACCATTGGATCCTGATATCCGTATTGGAGCCAGACTCCTAAATGATTGTTAGATTTTGTTTTACTTCTGCGAACTGTATGTACATGTATGTGGCATGTTTGTCCTATGTCTTATGGTGCTATATGTGCCATGTATCTTATTTTATTCTATTGTGCACTTTCAAATGTAAAAAATTCCCTCCTTTTGGTAATAAAGTATTGTCATTGTCATGGGGATTTGAGGGCGTTTGGCCAACTCCTCTTGGAACGCCTGGAACATTTAGCCCACGTGGTCGGCGACCCCCGATGCTAACGCACGCACCATGCTCAATGGAGAAAAGGTCTGAGGCATATTTCTGGCCATGCCATATTGCTGAAGGTGAAAAGTAACGATTCGTGCACTGCCAGCACGTCCTGAAAGACTAAACATCAATCCAAACGCCTTTAATGGGTGCTTCGATGAAGCTGTTCGGTGACCATTCCTTGCTCAAAAAGGAGTGGGGTACTCCTCAGTAATAACTGGGGCCGTTCTGAAAACATCACACGCAACCAGCGACAACTACCCTGGCTTTACGTTGTGTACAACATTGCTGTCCTTTGGTAATAAATGATAGGGACTAAAGGATATGTCACCAGCAATCTGATTCGCCGTTTTAACCGGATTTCGAATCAGTCGATTTTGGACTGCAAGTACACGCATGCCTGTGGTGTGAAACTATGCGCATTGCCAACGCCACATCACCGTTTGTTGCTTAACGCCACACTCTGCAATAATCAGTCTATGTGGCGGCGGTCTGTAAATAATTGAGTCTGGACCAGACAATTCAATGATTGACATCATGAGCATCGATCTATGCAATTGGAATACGATGACATGTGTCAACCAAGTCAACGAGCCTGACCACCCGATGCCTTTAGTCGTCTCTTATGACAAGCATGGGTTACCTGAAAATCAATTCTAGCCCGGACCTTCACGGGTGGTCACATCGTTGATTCATGCACAAGCAATGAATGAGTTCATGTTATATGATCTATAATCTTACCACAGAGATTAAACAACTTTCTCTGAACGTGTCAAAATCAGGAATGACACACACACATACAGCATACGCAAATTATTGGATGCGTTTCGGGGTTAAGGTATACAGACAACTTTTACCTTTCATCATCTCCTTGGGGTAAAAAATAACTTTAAAAATCGTGATCATCTTCTCTTTGAATTAATATATAAGGAATGAGTATTCAAATCAAATCAAATGTTTATTGTATGAAGGCCATAGGCCCATATACATGAAGTGTACATGGTACAGTATAGGATCTATTAAACAAAAGATTCACATTTAATTTCTACTCTTGAATGCATGTTTGAATTATAACATTACAGATTTTAAGTCTTGATAGTTTGTGGTTGCCATGAGGCGAACAAATAGTTGTACTGAAGGGAGATTTAAATATTTAATTGGTTTGTATTTCTTTTGAATGTTCTTTAAGGATGGACATATCTGAATAGGTGAAATGGTGCATATCTTCGACGTTGTTTAAATTACAATATGCACATACCCTTTCAGACTTTGCAATTTTATTATAATAATCATAATAACTAATAATAATTGATTTGTAGAGCGCCTATTTCCAAAAGATTGTAGACAATGTCTATGGAAAAGAGAGTTTGAACAGATGAGTTTTGAGGGCAGTTTTGAAAGCGTCAGCAGATTCTATTTCTTTCAGGGCGAGTGGTAGAATGTTCCAGAGATAGGGGGCTGCAGCAGAGAACGCTCTTGATCCCATGGCTGTTTTGACGTGAGGCTGTGTAAGCAGTAGGGAGTTTGACGAGCGGAGCAATCGGCTTGGAACATGGAGATAAATGAGGCTTTTAAGATATTGAGAAAACATGTTTTCATAGATGCAGCTGTGTGTAAGAAGAAGAAGTTTGTATTGAAGTCTGCTTGATACAGGAAGCCAGTGAAGAGTTTGGAGGATAGGTGTCACAGTTTGGTAGCGTGGTGCACGGGCAACAACACGGGCGGCTGAATTCTGAAAGGAGCTGTTGAGGAATGTTGTAATAGAGGGAGTTGCAGAAATCAAGTTTAGAGAGAACAAGGCTGGTCGTTAGAAGCTGGGCGGTGTTGAAGTCTAAGAGGGTTCGGATCTTGCTAATATTGAAGATATGGTAGAAGCATCCTTTGCTGAGTGATTTGATTTGATTTTCTAATGACATTGTTGATTGAAAAATGACACCAAGATTTTGTGCAGTCGGACTGCGAGATAACATCTTGTCCAATTTCAAGAGATAAACTGTCAGGCACTTTGGAAATTTGATGCCTGGATCCGATGGTCAAGAACTCAGTCTTTGTGTCATTCAATTTCAGAAAGTTCAAGGTCATCCAGTCTCTTATTTCAGCAATACATTGTTGTAGCTTCAGTGCACAACCATCAGCAAGGTTAGGCTCCGCTGACAGATATAACTGATTGTCATCAGCATAAAGATGAAATTTCAGTGAGTGCTTTCGGACAATGTCACCAATGGGAAGAATGTACAGACTAAACAGTAAAGGTCCAAGGACAGATCCTTGGGGAACGCCATAGTTGAGTGGTAATGCAGTGGAGAGTACAGATTCCACTTTGACGGACTGTGACCTATCAGATAGGTAAGAACGTACCCAGTCAAGGACAATTCCATCGATACCGACTCTGACCTTCAGACTCTGCAGAAGAATTTGGTGATCAACAGTATCAGTTTCTCCCGGTATCAATATTTAACCGTGTACATCCAACTCGAGCACAAGCAAAGTCGGTTGCAAATATACACAAGGTCGAATATATTACATATTTCTCTGCTTCAAGGCTAATCTTAATCTCGCATAACATTCACATCTAGTGCTAGATGCTATTATATTTGTCCATTCTTGGGAGTACATATCTTTTAATCTGGTTTTGAAAAAGCTGAGAAAAGTAGTTATCCAACGTCTTGATAGACCCAAGCATAAGCAAGACCTGAACTAAATAAGATATGTCTAACTTTACTTGCCCAATTATGTCTACCTACTGAATCAAGATTAACTAACATTTCGTACGCCTTACGTGGAAGTCGACTAGGTGGCATGTGAAGTAGTTTTAGCCAATATTTGATGCGCTTCTCTGAACTGTCTATAAACAATGGGTAACGACTACACTCCCCAAGGGCCATCACATTAGGAGTGTTAATGCCAGTACCAAGATAGTATTTACATGCGAGAAACTGGACCCTCTCTACGACCTCTGGTCTTTGATGTCCCCATATTTCGCATCCGTAAAGAAGGATGGGTTTAATTTTTGAATCAAATATTTTGAAAAATGTTCCGAGTGAGACTTTTCCATATGGCCAAAGTAATTTTAAATGAGTGAGTTTAGTTTTACGCCGCACTCAGCAAAATTCCAGCTATATGGCGGAACTAATTTTAAAACAGTCATTAGTGCTCTTTTTCCATTTAACGCTAAATGGGATACTTCCCTTGTTGAATTTAATGATGGAATCATCAGTAGCCAAAGGTACTATTATTCTGGAACAACTTCTACAATTTCATTGCGACAATACCATTTTTTAAGATTTCCACCCTTTCAAAAAAAAAAAGATTTTTGTTTTTGAAAGGTTGACATTTAACTTCCATGTTGAACAGTAGTCGTCTAGAATATTCAGTTGCTCTTGTAGCCCACTAACTCTATCAGACATGAAAATAGCATCATCGGCAAACATCAGTAGAAACAGTTCATGTAAATCAGGGTATAATTGTACTCCCCTACGACAAGTATCAAGAATATCGGCAGCCAACTCATTAATAAAAAGAGTAAAAAGAATTGGGCTTAATACACAGCCCTGTTTTAGTCCGATAGGACAATCAAAACACTCAGTAAAACCAGCGTTACACCGTACGCATGCTGTTACAGACGAATACATAGACTGGATCATAGTCAACATTTTAACAGGTAGACCACTTCTTTTGTAATACAGACATAAGTTTATTTCTATCTATAGAGTCAAATGCTTTTTTAAAGTCTACAAAGCAACATAGAATCGACCCCTACGTTTACCTAAATATTTCAGTATACAAGCTGTTAGTGTGCACAAGTTGTCCGTTGTTGCGTATTCAGGCCTAAAGCCTGCTTGTTCTTCGCATATCTTATTATTATTTTCTGCCCATGTTTTTAATCTGCGCTTAATTATAGTTGCAAATATCTTTCCGAATATACTGTTTAAA